AAAGAAAAAATACTTCGAACACTGACAGCAAGTGACATTGCATTTTTCCCCTTTAGAAGAAAAAAAAAAAAAAAATTCGAAAGCCTCTTTTCGCCCCAAAAGCTCTGTACAAACATGGAACATCATTGAGATTTGCCTAGAGATTTGCGTACGGAGAAATTTTTTTTCTTTTTTCACCAATAACAGGGGCTCTTCTTTTTCATAAACCATTCTATGCATCCGTATAATATACAGCACGCAAACGGCTCTTTTTTCATATTCGACACTATGGAGTAACGATCGGTAGTTGGATACATTTGAAAAAAAAAAATTGTACGAAAGAACCGATTAAAAAAAAAATATGAATAGAACTGTATATTGTTGGATCAAAATAAAACCCCTCTGCAAGCTTGCAAAAAATTGTTAAGCCCACCAAAGGACTCGAGTGTACGAATATTTATAATGCCATCGACGATGTAAATTGGAAGAAAAAAAAAATTTCAAAATAGTACATATTTTTCAAGTGAGAAATAGTACATAATATTATATAGTAGAGCAAAGCGTCGCAACTTTATCGCTAAACGATACCTCATCGATGTACACGTTGTATTTATACGTAGTGATCTCAAGCGAGCTATATTGGAATAAAAGCTCTGCGCGGAGCATAAGTAATTTGCGCCCCTCAATACCCCTACAAATTCAAATATCGCACCAGTGGCAGCAGCTGTAAAAGCAGTTCGTGCATATAACGCTCGTACGTACTTATAATTGACTACCTGCATAAGCATACATATATATATATATATATATATATCACCTTATGCCTGTACGAAACATACATGATGCGTGTGCTCATTGAAAGCCACGGCAACTTTCTCTCCCTCGCTCCTCTTAACGAAACAGAGAGCGAGTCGGTATGTATGATGAGCGGGTGTACACAGGGGTGTGTACCAGTCGGCACATTTGCGATCCCTTTTAGTTAACGATATAACGTTGCGGAAGCAATTATACTCCGTGTGATTCATGGTGATTCCGCAAAAAAAAAAAAAAAAAAATCAACTAAAGTTTGAGGAGACTCCTAAAATGAAAAATGTGTGTGTGTGTTTTTTTTTTAAAGTTGCATTGCAAATAAAGTAAAAAAGGTATCCGTGACCAATATTCACGAGCATAAACTGCTGAGTGCGATACAAACTTTTTAGAGACACGAATTTCCAAAATAACGAGCGAGCCGTATTTCAGCGAGTACTTTTTATTAATTTTAAATTGACCGAAAACTGTTTTATTTCATTTGACGTTTCAGGCAAAAACATATTTTAATAAATTACTAAACATGAACTTCTGAGATCTTGAAAAAAAAAAAAAAAAACCTACTTTTTTCAGCCTTCTGAATAAAAGAATCATTGAACAGCCCGTGATAGTTTTTAGGGTTGAACTAAATTGTCACACGTATATACACTGCAGATTATTCCCAAATCGATGGCGCCTCACAAAGAAAAATCGTAACATTTAACGATAATCTTGAGAACTCCCAATCACAGGGTATATTTTCGTAGAATCACCAATGCGTTATGTATATCCCTCTATGGCAAATTTTCACCTGCTCCCCCGTCATGAGTCCGCCTCCCTTTGAAATCGTCCATATACGTACACGTCACGCGTATATACACTACTGCTACCTCCGTAAAACGTATGCGTGTGCCCATTGATACTGGCATAGCTAATTTGATAGTTTAATCAATTTCCGTCGAGCCCGCCTACATACATACAGCTTGGCCGTCATCGTTGGGGGTTTAACGGTGATGTCATCACTCCCAACGCCGCACGCGATAACGCCCGCGAGAGAGAGGGAGGATTGATATTTACAATTACCGTCAAAGTGAGGGATGCAAGTTTCGAGAACGCAATGCGTAATTTCGAACGGTGCGCGACAGCAACGGCAGCGGGGAACGTCGATTATCCGTATATACACACGCGCGTGTAACATCGGTGCGAACGAGGTGAGAAAAGCACCTGAATTGCCCCTCGTGCACCCATCACCCCCATGAATGTAAATTTCACGTTGTCTCTGTACACGCGTGTGCACAATTAGGTTACTCTTATCGTCGAGGTTTCACTTTGGCCAAGTACCTGTGACTCTTTTGTTTTTTTGGCCACCAAATTTATTTTTCGCACGCGCCCAAAGCTTAACTTCCCCCCCCCCCCTAGAACTAAATTCATCGGCGGTACCACCTCCAAGTACGGTTTGACGAAACAACTCGATCCACATAAGCCGAACTCAGAGTATCTAAACAATAAAACGTGAAGCAGAGGATGTCACAAGAAAGAGAGAGAGAGAGAGAGAGAGAATCGAGTGGGTATACGCGAACAGCGAAATGTGCATCCGTTGAAAATTAAAAACAAAAAAAAGTGCATTTGATTCCGGTGCTCTCTCGGACGGAGTGAACGAGAGAAAGAAAGAGACGGAGCATAGTTAATCAGACGGCCTATTCGGCGAGTGTAACGAAATAAAGTGAGCTATGAGAGAGAGAGAGAGAGATGGTCGTCAATGGGGGTGGGTCTG